TTCATCATCACTTGTCGTTTCTTCTAACCATAAAACATACAGTCTTTTTGAGAATTTAAAAAGCCACCACTGGTTCCCAGTCAGCATATATAAGCCCTTAATATACTGTTTATTATTAAACAATTCAATGTACTATTTTATATTGGATAATATTGATTCTTAACATTGGCTTTCTGGTCACCAGGAGTCAACATAAAAATTCCAATTTTCAGTAATTTAGTGGAAGGTGTTTGGTTTTTTGGGTTTTTTTTTTTCAATTTTAAAGGCTTCTTAATCTCTACACTTGTATATTAAAAGTGAAAGGGATCAACAGCTAACTTGGGGCAAGTAATAAAATACATTTTGCATTTTTCATTAAGACAATTTATGGTAGACATGAATACACAGGTTACAAAATGAAGTCTCCATTTAACCTGTTTATATAAGACACAGGGCCACACTAAACTACTCAGTGGAATTTATCTATTCAGTTCACTTTGAACAATAAACAGTAACATATCCAAGAAGAATATGTGTCCTACCGTCTCATGTGGAAAAATAAATTATATGGTTGAAATGTAAAAGAAAGTAAGCATAAAAGTAAAGTGATGTATATATCAATCTGTCTTTTTTTAAAAAAAATTAGACCTAAATTCCTCACTGTTGAAACATAAACATTAACGAAGATTCAGATAGATAACCCACAGTTGACAATATTAATATGGTTCCTTGGCTGTTCAAGTAAATGAAATGATTTCTTTATTCTGGTAGCCTGAGTAAAGAGTAAAAAAGAGGATTTCTCAAACATATCCAGAAGTTTGTAAACAACACATTTATATCTTTTATTTTAGGAGGTGGTCTTAAAATATATAAATTTGTTTTCCTACCTGTCCTTGATTGATATGACCAAATTTAAAGGAAAAGCTAAATGAAAACCTACAAATAAATATACTTATGACATAAAATTATTGCACTTTACTAAGAAAGGGGTATAATGCTATTTAACAGAGTATTTTATGTATGACTTTTGCCACCATCCTATAATTTTTTGCTTGATTTCTTTGCTGTGTTTACTAGAGTTTATTTTCTAATTAAAATAATCTTGCTAGATAACAGATACTAGCCAGTATTTATCAAAACACATGACTTGTGTTGACTCACAAAAGTGAATTTCTTAAGATAGGGTGTCTTACTAAAAAAGAAAAGGAAAAAAAAACCCTATATATATTTTTTTTACTTTAAAGCTACAGGACAAGGGAGTATTGATTGGAATGTTCCTTATTTAGTTTTGGGGATCAGGCTTGTTAAATACAATACCATGGTTTTAGAAGTCTGTAGTAGGAACATTTTTCAAATACATTTTTTATATTTCAGATGTAATGCAGTGCACTTTTATTTGAACAATAAAAAACATAATCTTTTGAGACCATGCAGGTCTTTTTTTTCCCCCTTTTTGAAAGTAATGTGGTATGTATAATTGCAGACTATGTAAGGTATTTCTTTTCTCTTATTCTTTTAAGAAGCAGCTTAACTCTTGGACATAACGGTTAGGTTAGTTCACACCTTAAATCCCAAAATAGTTAATATCCCAATTATTGTGTAATCTGTTTATACCAACCATTCCATTTTAGAGATAATTTTGTTTACTTGTGCCAAGAGAATCCCCATTTCATGCCTTTTCAACATATATTTCAACATATACCAATATATTCAAAAAAAGTAATTTTAGTATTCATGTGAAAGATATTTTCCCCTTCTGTTCCCTGTTACTGTAAAGTTAAATCATTTTATTTTATTAATAATTGAAAATTACTTTTTTTTGGTAATTACTATACTTACCTTACAGTCATTTTTCTTCTCAGGAAAAAGAAGGAGGTAAATAGTTCACTAACTGTTCCTGTCTTGTTTTTCATGAAAATATTATTCCATTTTTCTTTTGATTCAAATGACCTAATACACATTTCATAAAAATTATTTTGCACAATAGTTTGCACAATAGTGAATACGTTATTCACTTTAGTTTTAAAACAATACAAAGTGTTAGATTAAACTGGAAATCTCGCATTAGAGAACAGAACATTTAAAGAATGACAAAACTTTCAAATAACAAATTTTTAAATCAGGATTATTTCAAAATGATTAAAATATCAAAGGAAAACCATTACACTGTTTTTCATTACTAATACGGAGATTCAGTATTCCAGTACTCAATGTATTTTTACTTTAGATAAATGTATTCAGATGTCTTTTAATATTAATGTTTGGGACACTTACATTATACTTCGTAAATTCTGGATGCTCCTGAATCTCTTTGGAAATTTATATATCCTATTGATAAATGCTTAAACAAGTCACAACACTCAATTAACTGGTGTTATTGTGAATTAACTGGTGTTATTGTGAATCAACTGGGGTTAATTCCAGGTGACTGGAATTTAGGGTGAGAGCATCATTAGTGCTTTAATACTTAATCTACTGTGTTACACACCTTGATTGCAAAAATACCATCACTTACCATTTTGGGTAGGTGAATATAGAGAAAAATGTGCCACTGTAGCTTAGAAATTCTTAGAAATAAGAATTTCTTTATGTGACACTTGGAATGTAGGACTAATAGATGTGATACAAGGGGTCTCATATTAGACTTCTACCTTTAAATGAATTCACACTTTTGAAAAGTAAAAGCCAATTTTGCATGCTCAATACTTAAAAATCAATGATAAGATAATACGAGAGGATATTTTTTAATGAGAGAAAAAAGCTAATTCTACATTAGGTATCTTTGGTTTTAAAAAGTAATGTATTAAATAGGAAAAAGAGAAGAAATTAAATCTGATTCCCAGGGAACACTAACAATTCCTTGTGAAAATATCCTTTAAAGTCAAACATTTCAGAAGGCATATATGGGAAATGAGAAATGTAAATGTACATATATACAGTTTATGTATAATAGCCTACATTCATATTTTGACCTCCATTCCTATGTTCAGCACAGCGATGGATAAGAATTTCAGAAACTTTAGAAAGTAAATATATAGTCTTTGTTTTTAAGGAGTTTAAATAAAATTAAGAAAAAAGTGTGTTGTAGTAAGAATAAAAGACAGGAATAGGCTAATAATGTTGAACTTTAAAAAAATGTTTAGTATGTCCATTTGCAAAGTACGTGATTTCAGTTGGTTGGTTTGCCCAATATTTGCATGGTCATTTTGTACTGTACTCTGCAACTCAAAAGATACAAGGTATCACAATGTTACCAGTACATACATATACATGAGTGCTGACACTTCTTTTGCATTGGGCTTTATAATTGACAAATACTTTTCCCAACATTCTCTACCAAGTAGACAGCCAGTTCTGATCATCCAAATTTTAAAATGTATGTTTATGTATATGAAGTTATCAAGTTAAATATTCATAAATTTTATTTACATCACAACATTCACGCTTAAAACAATGGAACATTTGTAAATGAGAATGTAATTTGTGACCCCAAAATGTAGCAGAAAGGGTGGACCTACACTGGTTGAAGAGGTCCCAGTCCCGACTCCTGATACAGCTTAACAAAAGGAAGTCTTAGGAGTTTGAGGAATAGCTTGACAAACTTTTGATTTAAATTATATGAACAGTGAATGCATAAATATGAATTTTTCACTTTAGGATCTTTATCCTTTAATCTCCTTTTCTCCTGGATATCAAAAGATCAGATTCCCTAAGCTTATGTGCCACTGTGGAAGGACCAACTCCTAATGTCATCAGTTCTCTGGGAGGAGAGGAATGCAGCAGCATAGAAGTTGCTTCTTTACTCACAATCTTTGGGCCAAGATATTTCCCTCTAAAATTCCTTTCCACTTTAAATCAGTAGTCAGTAGCAACAGGTTGCTTGTTTTAACTTGACAAACGGATAGGGAGATAGATTGATAGGTTTTTACCTTTAAAAAGGAAATTCTATGTATAACATATATTGGGATGTGTGTGTTAACATTCAAAAATTCATGCATGGATTTATCAGCCAATTTGAAGGAAGATGACTTCCAGAATCCAGAGGAAAGGGTATATCTGGTACCCTTGGGTAGGTGCATAATGAAGCAAGAACAGTAGCTTCAGTTTGACATTACCCCAACATTGGTTGGAGCCTTCGTTTTAATCAACGTTTTATTCCTCACAACACAATTTGGCCTCTAGGTGTAGGGGTGACCCTTCTTTTAGGAAACTCCTTCATGTTATTCCCGTGTTTGCTTTTGCCAGGAGCAAAAAACCCAAAATTAGTCCATATACATTTAGCCTATTCCTTTTAACCAGAAGACACCTAATGTTGCTGTTCAGGCTCTTGAAAGCTTATATAGGATATATGTTAAGCCCCAGTAAAGAATTCACCGCGCTGCCAGTGATAATTCCCCTTAACTCAGGAGATGGTACTTTACCCTTAAGGTGTTTTGCTGCTCTTTATGATGAAAGCAAGCACTTAAGTTGGGTCTGAAAATGTCTATTATGACAGATGAGCCAATTAAACATACCACAGACTAAACTATGCCTAGTGCATAAAGGTTGTTGATTAAAACAATCCAGAAACACACGCCTGTCTCCAAACTGGCATTTCAGCAACATGTTGACTCCTGGGTAGTATGATCTATCTCAATCTCTAGCGGAAGCAATTGGGGCGCACAAAAAGACGTGGGGGACTACCTCCTGATCACATAAGGTAAAACTTAAACCGTGACCCGATTAGTTTAAGTGAAAAAGAACGGAAAGGCACAACCCGAACACCAACTTTATAAGGTGAGCTCTTCCCAGAAAACACCTCTCCCGGCCCAGGGCAGCAAGCCCCGCCCCGGGCAGCAAGCCCCGCCTCCGACTCTGCAATTCCGGTCGAGCCTCTGAGGAGCTCCACCGCAGCACCGCGGAAGTTTCGTGTGTGCGCAGTAGGCTTGATTAGTGCCGCGTGGGAAAGGCGGGACTTCCTTACGTCTTGCGTCATCTCTAGTGCGACGCAATACGTCACTGGTGTGGCTGGGAAAGTCAATTATGGCTGCCGGCGGACTCCCGCCATCTTTACGCCCCGGGTCGCCGGCGCATGCGCGTAGCGGCCTCGGTGAGCGGTACGCGCAGCTCTCCCGTGTCGCCCGCGTGTTGGATACAGTTGTGTGCAGAGATGCTGTGCCGGCTGAGCGTTAGGTGGTTGCAGCCGCGGCCTGCCCTGCAGCTCCGGGGCTTGGGCCCACCGGTCGTACCGGCCCCCACCGGCGGCGCCAAGCCCTCCGCTCTGCCATTGTGGGCGGTGGCATCAGTCTCTGCAGTTGGCCCGAGCGGCGCGGGTGGCTGGTATGAAGCCCTGGCTACGTCGGCGCCGGTGCAGGGCGCCGAGGACGTACTGCTGTTTGCGCACACCGCCTCGGGCCTGCCCTGGTGGGGCAGCATTCTTCTCACCACCGTGGCCCTGCGCGGCGCTGTCACGCTGCCCCTGGCCGCCTACCAGCACTACATCCTGGCCAAGGTGAGGGGCGCCGAGCCGCGCATGGACGCGCTTCCGTGGTGAGGACTGGTCGACGTCTACCCGGGACTTAAGGTCCCCAGGTACCCGCGGAGTGCTTAGTGTTAGTCATCAGTACCAGTAAGGCAGTGAGCTACTTTACAAAAAGGAATTAACACAGGGCAGAAGTAAATGCAAGTTTTGGTGGCTCTGTGACTGCCACAGAGTATATTAAAGATTCTTAATAGACTTCTGTTTCCTCAGTTGACATTACTGGGAAATCCAGGAATTGAAACATGAAAGTGCAGAGTGTAGTTCTTATATAATCCTTATAATAACCCTGTGAAGTAGGTGCTGATATACATTTTATATATGAGAGAACAGGACTTTAGAGGTTAAATAATTTGTCCAAGATCATACTGATGTACAAGCTGGAGTTTGAATTTGGTTGCAACTGAGGAAATCTTAAGTTAACATCCTATACGCAGACTTAGGGTTTCTTGACATGACCAGTAAACCACATTTTTAAATGAGCTGAGGGAATAGAGAGTGAAATTATGAATGGTTATGAATAAAGATCTGTTATGTTCTCATAACAAAGCCTACTTTTTCTTTAGCTAGGTGGAAAATTTGCAGCCAGAAATAAAAAGCATTGCAAGGCACCTTAACCAAGACGTTGCAGTTCGTGCAAATCAGTTGGGGTGGTCCAAAAGAGCTGCCAGGTAAGCTAATTCTGTGCATATAACACCATGAAAATATATATACATATATATAATGTATAAGTGATTTTTATTATGGATTTTGGTATTCTGTAGCTTTAGCAGCAAAGTAGTTCTTTTTTCTCTTTAATATTTTAATAAGTTTATGTGGCATGGTAGTTTTATATACTGGACCGGAAGCAAAAAAAATAGGGAAACAAGAAGAGAGAGTTCCTTGTCCTTAAGGGACTTCAGGCTACTGAAAAAGACAGACATGTAATCAAATAATGACTGAACTAAGTACTGTACAAAAGATTATGTACAAGGAGTTGGGTCATCACGGAAAGTCAGGAAAGGCTTCACAGGATGAAGATACTGTGACAGTTGTTGGGATTTTTGTCAACAAATGATACAGGTTATTTACAAACTTGACCTTTTGACAACATACAGCAGGTAGTAGCCCAAAGGAATGGGGAGGTAGAAAGTATGAATGACATGGTAAAAGCAACTGGATAGGCAAGGTGTTGTCATTCTGCTCTGGTTACCCTATGTAGTTGTCTGCCTGGGCTCTTAGAAAGCCCTTGCCCAAGGGTGCTCGACCATGGCACAGTCTATGCCTACAGTCATGCACTATGAACGAAGTCCACCTCCTTCTATCAGCCTACGCTAGTTCTGCTTAGTCAGTTTCCCAAATTCTGATCCTTACTTGACTGTGACGAAGTGTTCACCAGTTCACAGCAATGAGAAAAATAAGGTTTTTTTTAGTATGAATATGTAATATATATATATATATATATATCTTTCCATATATTTTTATCTATATAGGTGTAAATTTGCCAACTATCTTCGGTATGAAATTGTGTCCCTCTTTATATAGAGTTAAAAAGACCTGACATTTTAAAAAAATCATTTTTACAGCTTAACGTCTTTACTTGCTAAAATAGGAAGTTGGTAAACCTATAGTTTTGAAGTTTTACTCATCAGGGAAATCTGAGGACTACAGCTCTAGGCCCGAAGAACAAATTAGTAGCTGCTCACCTGGGTTATAAATGCAGCCTAGACAAGACTGTGGCACCTTGCTTATGCAGCACTGGCAGGATGATTGTCCAGACACATCCTTAGACAGATGAGTGGCTTTCTAGGAAGACATATCTGAGGTTTCCTGCATTTTCAGTGGAGCTGGGTTTTGAAGCGTGACAGGGAAGTTGTCAGGTGAACAGCCAGGAAACTGGGCAGTCCACACAGATGATATAATAACTTCCAAAGGCATGCTGATGTGGAAGTCTGATTTGTTGGATGACCCCAGTCATTCAAGGGGCCAGAATATACAGGTGTCTAAAGAAGAGTAACAGGAAATAAAGTTGGAAAAGCAGGCAGAGGCTGAATTACAAAGAGCCTGCAATGTCTCCGTATACTGTCTTAATTCAGTACATTATAATTAGATTAAATTCAGCAAACCTATTGAAAACCAACCTTGTACAAAACATGCTGTGAGAGATTTAAAGATGAAGACCCAATACCATAGTATAGAAAGTGGGACTTAACAGAAATAACTAATATGGTTAATAGAGAAACAGAGTAAGAAAGCCTTTATGAAAGAGTTGATTGAAGAGTGAAAACCATTTTGACGGGCCAAGAGCATACACAGTACAGAACCACATTGCAAGGTATATTCGGGGATCAAGTGATTGAGCTTGGCTGGAGTGGAGAGATATGAGTAAAATGGGCTTTCACCTCTAGTATTTGTGATTTAAATTGTGGTCATACCATGTTAGTAGTGAAATTTCCCTCCTCAAAGCCTGGTTTGCCAGAGATCACCAGAATCAAAGACTGTAGTCTGACAGTGTCAGATTTATCAAATTGTTAATGTAATTTGCGTACATTGTTAAAGAACTTTGAGTAAAAGGCTTTATTTGCCTTTTGTTTAGGCAGCCCTGTGGTATAGCTTACAACAACCAAAAATCCTGCATAAATCCTTTAGCCAGTAACCACAGCACGGGTGTGTTTGTGCTGTGGGGATGAAACACTGCTAGTAGTCAAATGACATTTTCTCCTTTCCCTTTTTCCCTCTTCCCTGAAACTAGGCTCACTTATCTAAAGACTATGCGGAGGCTTGTTTCAGAGCTGTATGTTCGGGATAACTGCCACCCTTTCAAAGCCACTGTGTTGGTCTGGATTCAGCTTCCAATGTGGATATTCGTGTCTGTTGCTCTCCGGAATTTTAGCACAGGGGCAACACATTCAGAAGGTAGTTATTATTGAAGTCTGTTTCCCCCAAATAAGTTTTCTAACATTGTCTTTGTACTCTTTTTTTTTTTTTTTTTTTTTTTTTGCGGTACACGGGCCTCTCACTGTTGGGGCCTCTTCCCTTGCGGAGCACAGGCTCCGGACGCGCAGGCTCAGTGGCCATGGCTCACGGGCCCAGCTGCTCTGTGGCATGTGAGATCTTCCTGGACCAGGGCACGAACCCGCGTCCCCTGCATCGGCAGGCAGACTCTCAACCACTGCGCCACCAGGGAAGCCCTGTCTTTGTACTCTTAAAAAAAAGAAAAAACCAAGCAAAAAATAAAAAACATCCATACTTCTTATAACTAGAATACACTTTTATCATCTCCCTTACAAGGGTATAGAATTTAAAATATTAAGTGTAAAGCAAACTAGCTGTGTTGAGAAAACAAATCAATCTAGGAAGGACGTCAGCTGCTTCTTGGAGGTCATGGTTATAATTCCATAATATGGTTTCCTGGCCAAGAATTTTTTCTATTAATAAATTTAAGAAGCCAGAAAAGCTTTCACAGTTATAAGTGTAAACATTTATTAAGAAAGGTTATAAACTAAGGGGCTTGTTTTTTACTTTCATTTAAAGGCATTTCTAACCAGAAAGTAATCTAAATGGACTTGAAAGAAAGTCTAATTTTTTTAATTTTTAAAATTTAAGTCTGAAAAGATTACTGCTACATATCTTTATTGTCTCTACATCTATTTACTACAGAAAGCTTCTTGCCTCTTTCTCAGTACAGGAAGAACTAACTTATGTTGTGGAGTGAAAATAACCTGAATAGAAAGTGCAAATCTTTAGTGTGAGGAACACCTTATTGCAATTACTTCCCTCTGCTATTTTAGAAATTCTTTTGTTTTACTTATAAAAATGTTTCAGCAGGTTTTTCTGTTCAGGAGCAGTTAGCTACTGGTGGGGTCCTGTGGTTTCCTGACCTCACTGCCCTGGATTCCACTTGGATTCTGCCTGTCTCCATTGGTGTCATCAACTTATTAATAGTGGAGGTCAGTGGTTTTAAATGAGATTTGCTTGCCATTTAAATCATTGGGGTTTTTGTTGCTGTTCTGACCTCAAATGTAAACATATTTGAGTTGGTGGTGATAGCTCTGAGCTAAAATTGAGACTCCTTAGTTTTGGTCGCTGATCAGCTGTTGATAAATTGTCTTAGGCCAGTTCCTTAACATCTCTGGAGGTCAGAATGCTCATAATTAAAATAAGAGAGCTGAATTTGAACATTTCCAAAATGTCTTTTAGCTTTAAAATTATATGATTCTAATACATACAATTTTGTGATTTGCTTTTTGGTAAAGACAACAATTAAAATGCCTAATGAATCTGGTTTTCTTCCCACAATATATTGATGTTTTGTGTATATGTTTAATATGTCAGTTTGTAGGTGGTCAGTACCTGACTGCCATTTTTAAGTTACACAACCTTAGAAAAGCCATAGAACTTCTTTATAAGATGGAGTGGAGAAACATACATATAAAATATGACCCCTCTTCCATAAAGAACTGTTCTCAAACTCTGAGTAGAACATAGACTCTTTGAGCTAGAAGAAACCTTAGAAAAGACCTAACTCAGTTGAGATTTTACAGACCTCATATCCACAGCTCTCTGTTTGGGAAATCTAATACACCCCTTATTTTTTCAGACGAGAAAAGTGAGGATGATACTCTGAGGTCTTGTGTGAAGTTTTCCTGAGGAAAGACTCTATGTGTAGTCTAAGTGTGTTAGCCTAAGGGCATCTACCACAGTGCTGTTAACATGGTTGGTAATTAGTGAATATTTCTTAGAAAGAAAGAATCGATAACACAGGGTCACAGTGAATAATGTCAGTCCTCTAGTCTTTCTTTTATTCCATCTAAAGACCCAGCATGCATAAGTTTAATAAAAGCCTGTTCTTACTTAACATTCACCATGCGCCAGGCACTATTGTAAGCAATGTACATGAATTAACTCATTTAATTCTTAAAATAATCCTGTGATGTCAGTGCTACTATTATCCCCATTTTAAGGTGCAGAAGGTAAGGCACAGAAAGGTTGAGTAACTTGTGCAAGGTCACATAACCACTGAATGCAGGGCTGCCTTGTGAATCTAGGTAGTTTGAGTGTAGAATCTGTGCTCAAAATCATTAAGTTATGCTGCCTCTTAAATAAGTAATTCATAAACCATAACTGCCTTTCCTAGCCTTGGTTCTTTTCTGTACTCCACGTAGCCAGATCACAAACCTTTGAGATACCTGTTAAGTTCCTTCTTTATGCCAGGTCCTGTGTTCAGGTGCTAAAAAACAAGGACAGTGATTCATACATAATACCTATCTTGAAGGGACTTCAGTTTTACAGACAATCTTTAAAAAACATTGACTTGTAAAAATTATGCTGTGATACTGTTTAGTATAGATGAATCTCTTTATTGCTGTTATTTAAAGTTCCATTTAAGAATTTTACATAAATTTATCAGTTTTATTTTAAATTTTTATTGTTTTTCATAAAATATAGGTAGAGGCCAGTCAAAAATCAGTTTGTATTTTAAAGCTTGTCTCGTTTAATGTGCATTTCAATAATCAGCATATGTTATATATTCTACCCCTTCAGATTTTTGCTCTGCAGAAAGTTGGAATGTCTCGTTTCCAGACATATATTACGTACTTTGTTCGTGCAGTATCAGTGTTGATGATTCCAATTGCAGCGACAGTACCTTCAGTGAGTAAGCACCAGTATTGCGTGAAGCATGTGCTACATATAAATCTTCTGTTTCTAGCTTAGACTGGCTGGGATTCTGCCTCTTCTATTGAGCTTCCTCTGACTACTCAATCCCTTACTGGTTTCTGGGTTTCTGTAGTAACGAATCTACTGTCTCTATCACCAAGTGACATCTGAATATTTCTTGGGGGATTGGTTAATCTTCCTTTACGTGAATGTGTCTTAACCCTCCTATTAAACCAAACTCCTTTTCCTCTTTTTTTTTTTAATCTTGCAAAGTACCCGATGCAGTACTATGAACATAGTATTTGCTCTGTTTGATTAACTGATATATTGAATTCCTTTTGTCTTCATAGACTGGTCCAAGGAATTTTAGCACTGAAAAAAGAAACAAAACTTTGTGCTCGGTTTGTATGGGTTCATATGTAATATTGTTTAATCTCATAACAGTTTTATGAGATACATATACTTGTCCCTATTTATATGTAATTAAACTTTTATAGAAATAGAAAAAGAAATGTTATATTTGCAGTTATTTCATATTTTTAGCCTTTTGCTTCCATGGATACTTTAGTGCTAAGATGGGTAAAGCTATGTCAGGTATAGAGCTGTCTTAGCTCTGAGCCAACACATAGACCATAAAGTAGTAGCCATTTGTTGCTGGTAGTTAGAGTTATATCATTTATATAAAAGTACTTTATAGGACTTGTCTTAGGAATCTGAAATAGTATGTTTTCATCGTAAAAAATGTGAATTAAATGTTTTTTTTAAGACATATTTATTCTGCATCATGATCAGACTATTACATTTAGCAATCCATAGCATGGGTGCAAAAAAAAAAAAGTCACAGTGAAAACCTTTGTTGGAATGCTTTACACTTTCCACAGAACAGAAACTGAAATAACCTGTTATACACTTAGTCACAAATACAGTCCTCGAGTTTTTTTGCCCATACACATGAGTATTGTCTAAAACATGTCTTCTTTGTAGCATCTAGGCCCTGCTACCACTGTGCTTGGCTGAGTTCACAAACCTGTTGTACCCTGTAGCCTCCCTGTCACTTCTCTGGCTCTCCTCCCCTGCTAAGCTTTGTTTCCTGGCAGTAATGAAAACCTTCTGCCACTGCCATAGCTCCTGCTGCTGCTGGAACCACCATAGCCACCTCGGTTTTATCGTTTGACGAAGTATTGGCCTCCACCACCATAGAGGCGAGAACTTTTGCTTCCAAAGTTTCCTCCTTTCATCAGTCCAGAATTTGAAGATTGACTGTTGTAAATGCCAAAATCATTGTAGCTTCCGCCACCTCTGAAATTGCTTCCGTCATTACCAAATCTATTATAGCCATCCCCACTGCCACCATAGCCACCACCACCATGGCTGCCACCAAAGACATCTCAACCACTGAAGTTTCCTCCACCACCAAAGTTGTCATTCCCACTAAAACCACCGCCACGACCACCACCAAAGTTTCCAGAACCACTTCGACCTCTTTGGCTGGATGAAGCACTAGCCATCTCTTGCTGAGATAGGGCTTTCCTTACTTCACAGTTGTGGCCATTCACAGTGTGGTGTTTCTGAATGACAGTCTTGTCTATGGGGTCATGGTCACCAAAGGTTACGAAAAGCAGAGTCTCTCTTGTTGCCGCTGCCTTGGTTAGTCATGGTTTCAATCACTTCAGTTTTCCCATACTGTTCAGAATAATCTCTTAGGTGATGTTCTTCAGTGTCTTCTTTAATGCCACCAACAAAAATCTTTTTCACAGTTAAGTGGGCACCAGGTCTTTGAGAATCTTCTCTTGAGACGGCCTTCTTTGGTTCCCCAACTCTCCCATCCACCTTGTGTGGCCTTGCCTTCATGGCCGCATCCACCTCCTCCACAGTGGCATACGTGACAAACCCGAAGCCTCTGGAGCGCTTGGTGTTTGGATCCCTCGTTACCACACAATCTGTGAGCGTTCCCCTTTGCTGAAAATGGCTCCCCAGACTCTAATCGGTTGTTTCAAAGCTCAAACCTCCGATGAAGAGCTTCTGCAGATGTTCGGGCTCTTTGGGAGACTCCGACTTAAACACATGATGGCAGTAGATGGGGGAGACTTCAACGACGCTTACTTGGCGGTGTCCATGGGCTCAATTAAATGTTACATGTTTTTAAGCTGTCACTTAGACATAATACCATCATTAATCCTGTGTAAAATAAGTTTCCTTGTTTCTAAAATAGACACCGTAATGTCTGTGAGAATTAATGAAATGACAAGTGTCTATTATAGTACTTTTCATGTAATAATAATAATATTATAAAATACTCTGTAAAAACAGAACAATACAAACTCACTACATTTCTAAGGAGAAATAATACCTGTTATAACTGAGGAAACCCCCAGATCAAGTGAAATAGGAGCAGTAAAGTTGTAGTGAGAGGTTGGATTCAAAGTGAGTAACAGAGATCTGAAAAACTGTCTTTTTTTTTAAGCTTTTTTTTTTTACTTATTTATTTTATCTTATTTATTTTTGTCTGTGTTGGGTCTTTGTTGCTGTGGGCGGGCTTTCTCTAGTTGCAGCGAGCGGGGGCTACTCTTCGTTGCAATGCGCAGACTTCTCATTGTGACTGCGGTGGCTTCTCTTGTTGTGGAGCATGGGCACGCCCTACAGGCGTGCGGGCTCAGTAGTTGTGGCTCGCGGGCTTAGTTGCTTCCCGGCATGTGGAATCTTCCGGGACCAGGGCTCAAACCCAGGTGCCCTGCACTGGCAGGTAGATTCTTAACCACTGCGCCACCAGGGAAGCCCTGAAAAACAGTGTCTTAAGTACCCAAAAATCCATTCTCTCAAATACAGGAAATTCTGAACTAGGTAATTCAGTGTAGAGCTGATGGAGCGTCCCTGTGAAGACTTGAGAAAGGCAGCCTGTTTCTCTCTCAGTGCTGCATCATCCACAGCCTGTAATGGTCTTGAAGGCCGCAGGACAGTCACGATGCCACTGGAGCTTGTTACCTTGCGAGAATAGTAAAAAGGTTCCTCAAGCACGGTCAGCCCCTTTCAGGACCCTGGCCAGGTGCCCCACCAAACACTGAGCTTCCATCTTAAATATGTGGCTGTACCTAACTGCAGAAGAGGTTGGGAAGGATAGTCTTCTTTTTCTTTTTTTTAGGTGGCAGTATACCCTGCTGAAAATTAGTATTTTTCTTACTAAGAAAGAAGAATGATACTTAGTAGGCAGTTTTTAGTCTGACGTAGTTGAGGCTCAGGATACTGTTCGCTTCATGAATAAGTTTGATGATGGTGGTAGTTAATATTTATTCAACATTAACATTGTACCAGGCCCTTTTTAAAATCATTTACATATATTAGTATACATATTTCTCCCAACAGTGCACTGAAGTAGGAGCTATTATAATCTCTACTTTACTGCTGAGGAAACTGAGGCACAGAGAGGTTAAGTAACTCATCGAGGTTACTCATCTTTTAAGTGACAGTCTAACACACATCCAGGCAGTTTGGCTCTTACTCTTAACTACTGTGCTAACCTGCCTTTAAGGACGTATTGCTTACTGCCCTTAAAAACTTGCTCTGGGGCTTCCCTGATGGCGCAGTGGTTGAGAGTTCGCCTGCCGATGCAGGGGACACGGGTTCGTGCCCCGGTCCGGGAAGATCCCACATGCCGCGGAGCGGCTGGGTCCGCGAGCCATGGCCGCTGAGCCTGCGCATCCGGAGCCTGTGCTCCACAACGGGAGAGGCCACAACAGTGAGAGGCCCGCGTACCGCAAAAAAAAAAAAAAAAAAAAAACTTGCTCTGGAACAAATGCAAGTGCTTAATATGGGTGACATACTGTGCTTACCACTTTACCTAAATTTTCTCATTTATTCCTCACAGCATCTCTTTGAGGTTGGTACAGTTCTGTCCCCATTTTATAGAAGAGAAAACTGAAACAAGAAAAATAATGTACCCAAAGTTAGATAAATAGATTTCAAACTCAGGCAGTTTGACTCCAGGACCTGGATTCAACCACCACATGGTCTTGCCTCTGGGGACTGATTACCTTCTGATGCCAAAGAAAGGTTTGGGAAAGATGTATGTAGGTATGTATGGGAATGTTTTGAGAGGCCGCAGAACTTAGTCTTTGACCTAAATAGTCAATCTGAATGGTAGTAAAAAAGAAAGTTGAAGATAATGCTGAGACTCTTTGTCTCAGGAAAAGGCAAAGGTAATGCAGTCCTGACTACACTTAGAAACTGGTTGGTGGGAAACATTTGGAAGATAGGTGACTGTATATAGGTCTAGGGGGGCTAAGTTTGCCATGATAAATGGCTGTGCCCCCAGTAGCGTACCTTCAATGTAGCAGCCTGTCAAGACTCTTGGTGGGGAAAAAGTATGCTTAACTGCCAGAGATGGAGGTGAGATCTCTCTTGGACCTCTGCTTGGGAGCTGTTCTCTGTTATCCACTTTCTGTCATGAATACCTCTACTTTTTGTTTCTTTTTGCTTTTGAGTCTTCCTTTCAACTTTCTTACCTACCTATCTGATCTGTCACACATATCTAATAGCTACTGAAAGTCTTGGTCAGTCCTGGCGTACTTACATTTACAGAGATTGTAATTTTTTTTTTTATTGCCTACCTATTTCTAGACCTTGGTGTCCTTGGAGAATGGAGAGATGCTAACTTTCATGTCCTTTCTTCTCTTTACAGTCGATTGTTCTCTACTGGTTATGCTCCAGCCTCATGGGCCTTTCACAGAACTTGCTGCTACGTTCTCCTAGATTTCGCCAACTTTGTCGAATACCGTTGACCAAGTCAGATTCAGACACTCCTTATAAAGACCTCTTTGCTGCCTTTTACGCCAAGTTCATTTCAAGAAAATGACATACTTTCTAGTAATTCTGAAACAATTACAAGTTTCACTGTTAATGTATTTAGAAGATTTAGAAATTCAGATATGGTTTAATTTGCTTTTTAAAATCATGAGCTCTGTGAAGTACTGTGGATTAAGATATAATCCAGATATATTTGACAGTACTTAAAATCATTTAAGTGCTAAAACTGTAGTATGTTCAGTTATGTAAAAGTGGGATCAAAGTGTCGGGCCCTGTTTATAAAATTACAACTTGCGAGAGGTGCTAGAACTTTGGAGAACAGGACTAGAGAAGTTTTATAAAATAAAAGAATCCAGTGAAGTGATTTTTAAAATTTTGGGGGTGTGGAGGATCATAGACCCGGTTAATCATTTAATAAAGCCATGGTTTTCTCTTCAGAAAAGTCCTGGAACTCACAACATGGAGGCCTTTATTGACCCCCCTTCTGGTAATTCCTGGCTAATAAGTGTTATTCTAATGGAACATACATTGATGATGAGTTAATGTGTGCTTTTGAAATGAAAAGGACTTGAGATACACGCAGTGGAGTAGTCCACACATGTAAGAAAGTACCTAATAGGGTAGGTAGTGTTGCTTCTCAACCTTGCTCTGAAGGAATACAAAAATTGTACATTTCCTTTCTCTGTAATTTAAGGAGTCTGGAATACAGAGCATAGAACTAAGTACTGCTAGAGCCCAAAGTAGAAAATCTTAAGCTAATCATATAGAATATGAAGGAACCCAATATCTCTGATAATCCTTTAAGAAAGTGAAAAACTGGTACTAGGGTCAAGGCTGTGCTAATTGGGAGACTCCTTTAGACCTGTACACCTTGGTATGATAATGCATAACATTAAATTGGTCTGAGGATCTTATATATTACAAAATTCATAATTTCATAGCTTGGAAAAAAGGATCAAAGTAAATTTTAAAAGCTCAAAAGATCAGGATAGTATTTAGCAAGTTTTAAAAATAATGACTGAATACATGAAGATACATTAGTTACACTATTACTAGAAATTAAATAGTAGGTGAAGAATCATCTCATTCAGCCAGAGAACATGCATATGAACATTGTGTATTCAGTCATTAGAGAATGTAGGTAGATCACATAATTGTGAAATAAGCTTGTTGTGCAGAATTCTGGAGACAGAGCTGTTTGAGTCTTTCCTGTCATCTCAAAGTACAGTAGACCCTTCTGTCTTCCTAGCCCCACAGCCACAACCATTAAGAGCTTCAAACTGTCAGCAGCTAGAATCCCATCAAACAGCTGAACCAGACTTCATTAGATAAGGACTAACATAGCCACAGAGAGGAAATGATTCTGTGACTTGAACATATTAACTTGACTGTAGTCGTTTGTGGAATACAGTTTCAAAGTAAAAAGGACTATTAGAAAACTTTGAACTTTATTTGGTAATTGTATTGCTCTTGTTAATATTGCATTGCTGTTTTGGAACTCTTACTGTCAGGTAAAATATATAATGATGTTTACTGGTATATTTGTTTTCTGTGGATGCTGTTAACAAAATCTTTATGCTGCTTATGCACCAGGAGGTAGATGCTATTGAATGTATTTGATATTATAAGATATATCTCTTTCAAATTTTTCTTTTAAGAGAGAGATTTAGGGATTGCCCCTGAGGTCCTAGAAAAGAGGGTCCTCCCCACAGTTCTCCACAGGTATACTCAGAAAGCCTAGCCTTCATATCTGTTTCACCTAAGACCTTCCACAATCTCAGTTAAGAGCTGATGAAATAAAATTCATGTTTTACGGCAAGATGAGAAAAGTTTAAACATAAATTTTTTCTTTGTCCCTTTGGGCCTCCTCCCTCCCCTTTAGCAGGTATTGTGCATCTGCATTAACCAGAGCTCTTTAGGAGATGACATTCCTTAATCTCATTAAGGGACACTGACTCTTAGGAGTTAACCTTCCTTCTTGTAAGGGACCATGATGACTCATGACCTACTGTTTGCTTTGTACCTGTAGGTCTGGATTGTGTAAACTGTTAATAATACATCGTATGACATAAACCCTTTGTCTCAAAAACGTACATAACTGTGCTTTGACCCCTAATTGGCAGAACAGTCCCCAGAGCTTTCTGAAAGTCTACCTCTCAGATTATAATCCTCAAATTGGCTTGAAACTTTTGCATTTTTTTCTTAAACTGTTGATGAATTTTTCTATTGACAGGGTTGTACATAAAAGCACTTTGATCCTGGTTGATTCCTGTCCATAGGAACCACAAGGCCTGGCAGTTACCGCAAAAAAAAGAAAAAAAATACCAGCTGAGGAATGGCAGCAGAAGAGATTAAACCAAGAAAGCACTTTTACACAGAAGCCTTGCCTAGTTCTTAGAGCAGTAACTTTTGCTTTGCTGTAACTTGAACATGAGAGAGATCCGACACAACTGTCCCAAAGGAATATGTAACAAGAGAACCCTGTTCCCTTGTATTCTCACTGACTACATTCTTGACTGCCCAATTTTTACGTAAGTTTTGCAAGATAGTCTTACCTTTAATTGCCTAGGCCTACACTGCTGATTTTCTTCTGTAAAATGAGGACTTCTGGGTGTTTGAGAACAAAAACCTTGATGGAAAGACCTTAAAATCAAAATAAATGCTTTAAAAAAGCAGCCCGGCTTCCCTGGTGGCGCAGTGGTTAAGAATCCGCCTGCCAGTGCAGGGGACACGGGTTCGAGCCCTGGTCCGGGAAGATCCCACATGCTACGGAGCAACTAAGCCTGTGCGCCACAACTTAGGGCCTGCGAGCCACAACTACTGAAGCCAGCATGCCTAGAGCCCGTGCTCCACAACAAGAGAAGCCACCGCAATGAGAAGCCTGCGCACCGCAACGAACAGTAGCCCCCGCTCAACGCAGCTAGCGAAAGCCCGTGCGCAGCAACGAAGATCCAGTGCAGCCAAAAATAAATATAAATAAATAATTAATTTTTTTAAAAAAAGCAGCCACTGTTAATGAGTTTTTCTGTCTAAGGCAACAAAAAAGAAATTTCTATCCTTGAAAGTCCCTGCTAGACTCCAGAGGGCCAAGAATTTCTTGAAAAAGAAGCCTCTGGGGAAAATGCCCCATTTCTATCTTTTCTATTTTGAGAAAATTTTACGGTCATGCTCCTCTTCCTTTGTGTCCCTGATATGGCAGTTATATTTGTTTTTCCTTAGTTGAGAAGGCAGCATTGTATTTAATTTAGCTTTGGTTTTCGTCTTCTGGCTAAACTGTAGCTCTCCGGGAAAACTTAAAACTGGAATATGAGATATACCTAACTATATCCCTTTCATTGCAGCTGCATTTCTGCATGTTCCAACGGTAGTACAATTGATAATTTGAGGAATTTCTTCTAATTATAACCTCAAACTTCCTGGCTTTTCTCTGAGTGATGGATGCTTCTGAGGGTAAGGAGTATTAAAAATATGAATTGTATATCTGAGAATTAACAGCTTCTTATTCCATGTTACTCATAATGTGTCCCATGTGTTGCTATAGGTAGGAAACTCTCCTTTTGTGGTTTCCTTATAGAAGCTTCAGTTGTGCTTATATGAGTTTTCAAATACAGATGTTCCATTTTGGGATGCAAGTGAAAACCAGAAATTCCCGTTTAAAATTACAGTCACAACCAAGTAGAGATTTTAAAATGAAATATTTTCTTCCTTTAACTCTCACCTATCTACATCACAATGTGTTACTTTACTTTAAAATACAGTCGATCCTCATTCACAGTTTCATATTTGTGAATTCACTACTCACTAAAATTTATTTGTAAAATGCTCGTGATTTTTTTTTTTTTTTTGCGGTACGCGGGCCTCTCACCACTGTGGCCTCTCCTGTTGCGGGGCACAGGCTCCGGACGCGCAGGCTCAGCGGCTATGGCTCACGGGCCCAGCCGCTCCGCGGCGTGCGGGATCCTCCTGGACCGGGGCACGAACCCGTGCCCCCTGCATCGGCAGGCGGACTCCCAACCACTGCGCCACCAGGGAAGCCCGCTTGTGATATTTTTGCTGTTACTAGCAGACGTGTGGCTGCATGCTCAGAGCAGCAAAAAATTTGAGACCAGTGCACACATTCCCAGCAGCAGTCAAATCAAGTGACACTGCGTTTTGTTTCAGCTCTCATACTGTAAACGTGTCCTTCTTGTGGTCTATTTAGTGCCATGTTTTTCTCATTTTTACACTTTTTGGTGATGATTTCTCTGTTTAAGATGGCCCCCGAGCACTAAGTACAAGAAGACTGTGATGTCCTCACAGAGAAAATATGTGTTAGGTAAGCCTTTTTCCAGTGTGAGTTACAGTGCTACTGGCCATGAGTTCAGTGTTAATGAATCAACAATATATATTAAATAAGATGTCTTTAAACAGAAACACACATAGGACGTGATTATGTCTTGATTGGTTGATGAAATTGGTTGTTGTGACCAAAGGCTTTAAGGAGCCTAACTCTGAATTTCCTCTAGGAGTGATGGGTGGCTTTATAGAACAAAACTACCGTGAATAATGAGAATTGAATGTATTTCAGCCTATGCCGCACAGTTTTATGGTCATATGGTGGTTTAAATCAGGCATCCTTAAATTGAGGACGCATGGGCCACAGATCTAGCTCACTGCCCTTTTTTGTACAGCCTGAAAGCCAAGAATAGTTTTTACATTCTTATATGATTGAAAAAGAATGAAAAGATAATATTTTGTGACACATAAAAATTATGTGAAGTTCACATTTCACTGTTTTACTGGTGCACAGCCATGTTTGTTTATGTATTATCTGTGGCTTTCATGCTTCAACTGCAGAGCTGAGTGGTTGTGACAGAGATTTTATGTCACAGTGCTTCATACTCTGCTCAGCACACAGATCTTAGTGATGCAGTTATAACTCCGCAGCATTTCATGTGTACTGCCCTACTGCGACATTTTATTTTTTATTACCAGTTCATATCCAGTCAAAATAAGAAAAGTGGATTTTATATGTCATACTTTTAAAGCACAGTAGAGTATGGATTATTTTGTTATTGAATTAGATGGCAAAACATTGTGTTTATTATGCAGTGACACTATCGCTGTGCTGAAAGAACACAATGTATGTTGACATTACCAGACATCATGATATTTCCAACTTGCAGGAAAGCGATGGTCAGAAAAAGTAGAAAATTTAAAGTGGAATATCTCATCACAGCAGAATGGATTTGAAAGAAAAACTCACAACTAATGGAAAATTCTGTTTCCTCTCTACACTACCCACAGAACCCTTCTGGCCACCAAATGCGTGTGTGTGTTCTCCATACCAAGCAGTTCTCCAGTTCTTTGCAGGCACCAACTGAGTGTCCTACAATTTAGTTCAGTTCTGATACTACCTGGAGTTTTCACCTGAAAACTGGGTTTGCCTCTTGGTGGGTGCCCAGACAAGAGACACAAACAAGCCAAAGATCAGGAGAAGAAAGGATTTATAACTTGCAGCAAATAAGGAGGACACGGGGGATTTTCCAAAAGGAATGTCTCCCCGAACTGCAAAATTGGGGAAGTTTTAAGCTAAGGATATGTGCACATTCAGGAAGGGGCTAGAGCAGAGGAGAATTCAGCACAGAATTGGGGCAAAGGTCGACAGAGTCCAAGCTCCCAAGGGTCAGAAAAGGTTAACATCATCATTCCTTAGGTTCTGACCTATCTGAGGTCTCAGTGTGTAGTTAGCATCCTCCACCTGGATGGGGGCCTTAGTGCTTTCAGAACTCAAAGATAATGTATCAGATTGTTATGTATATCCCTTGAGGAGGAACTAGGACTCTCATCTCTGAACTGTTGTTTCTTGACTGCATTTCCTTTGTTCCTGCATTCCCTTATGATCATTGATTATAGAGACGTATTCAAGGGCAAGCATTCTAGGCAGGCTTAGATCACAAAATGGCTTAGGGCCAAAATGGCTTTTCTCAAATCAAGGAAGCCATGCCTGGTTCACCCCCTACCTTATCTGCTTACAGAGTCAGTACAGATTGCACAGTCCCACAAGACTGCCCTCCGTCCCCGCCCCCCACTTCAGACACCAATCTGAAGTATTACCTACAACCTCTGCCCGACTTGGTTGCAAATCTGGGGTTTCCATAACCCTTTCCTTGGGTTTGATAATTTGCTAGAACAGTTCACAAAACTTAGGAAGGCACTTAACTATTACCCATTTATTATAAAGGATGCAACTCAGGAACAGCTAAATGGAAGGATTGCCTGGGTCAATGTGTAGGGCTGGGTACAAAGAGCTCCTATGCTCTGCAGGCTTCATTACGTAGGCACGAGTGATTACATCATTGGTCATTGGTGATTGGATTCGGTCTCCAGCCCCTTTCCCCACCTGAGAGGTCAAGGGATGGGGCTGAAAGTTTCCATTTCAACCCTCTGATCTTGTGGTTGGTTCCTCTGGCATTCAGCCTCCGTCCTTTGGTTATCCAGGAGGGGCTTTCCAAAAATTACCTCATTACTATAAACTCAGCTGTGTTTGAAAGGGCC